CCCCAAAACCCCAAAACCCCAAAACCCCAAAACCCCAAAACCCCAAAACCCCGAATTTAATATCAAAACTTGAAAATGCCTTTAAAAAGATGACCTACAAGAGAGAATTAATTTAGTTATAGGTGACCCTATGAGTATCGGTGACCAAGGTACGAGCTTACCCTGCCAATTCCCTAGAGTTTAATATATAGCCAGCAAGTCCATTGAAGAGCAAAACAAGTATTTGTATAACTATATACATAAACTGGAGTTTCTGATCAAGCAATCGCAACAGGAAAGGGCTGACTCTGCATTAAATTTTAAAAGAGTAATCGGCCATCTTGTTCTTGAAGCCACTAAGAGTAATATCGAACCCCAAGTAACATTTCATGAACTCAAAAGGATACTAGCCAAAGAATATGAGGATGGCAATGTCTACCTAGACAGAGAGAAATTGGAGGAGAATCCGGACAAGAGAGACTTTGTTCTTGAAGCATTAGCAGCAGGTTCTAAACCATTTAATAATTATGAATCTGGATATGTGCCTACCCATGGTATTAGGACAAAGACCTCCCTCGAACCAAAGATGCTTCAGTGGTCTTCCACTAAGAGAACAGATATAGAAGCAGACCTATATGGATCAGAGAGACTCAAAGTAGAGAGAGTGAGGAGATTATGAAATACTTCGAGAATGAACGGAGGTTCAAATGCTGATGACAAAAGATCCAATGGTAATATCACCGACACACCTTCAGACATTGGTATGAATAATGATAAAAGTCTCAATAAAATTCTAGAAGAGACTAACCAGGCTAATAAACTGATTGAACACCACTCTAAATAACTTGGCAACATTTTTCAGAAAGACACAGAAAAAGAAGAGGGAACTGAAACAAGCCCAAAAATTAAGAGAAGAAAAGGAGCCAAAGATAAATTATAAACCTCCTATAGCTATCTTGGACAGTGAAGCTTTCCATAACCTAAGAATTGGTAAACTCCCCACTAAGGAGAGCTCCAAAGTTGTCGATTCTAACACAGGTTCTTCAAGTCTCAGCCAGGCTGACTCTAATAGTCTGAATAGACAATACTACCAAGTCCAGGCTCCAGAGAGGGCTCAGATTACTCCAATTTTACCAAAAATCTCAATCTCAGAGTTCAAACCAGCTGCTGCTTGCGATCAGAGCTTCAACCCTCAGCTAAGCTATCCTAAGTTCAGAGAGGAGGCTGTGATCAACTCCTCAAATAAATAAATCAATTCTTCCACTTGAGAGGTTTACCAAGGGGTTTTGGGGTTTTGGGGTTTTGGGGTTTTGGGGTTTTGGGG